CTCTAAATCATACATCATTGAATACATTGAAAACTAACATGTTTCCATTAATATGTAATTTTCCTAACATTTATTATGGTATTATTGCAGTCTTACATCTAAATTTGAAACCAAAATCTAAAAATTTTTTAAGCTTAATTTCAATGCAATTTCTTTACTACTCGAATGAATATCACATTTGTGACCTTCATAGATTCTACTACATTAGCCTCCATAAGTCAATGTTACTTATGTCTTAATATGTGAGGATAATGTAGTAATATCTAACACATTTAGCTTCCCTTATCAACATCATCAAAACTCTCTTATGATCAATCGTCGACATCATATGAGAAATTTTTAAATAATTTTCTAGTGGCCATGTGCTCCTCCAAATGAATATAATCCTCGGTTAACTCTTTAGTACCAATATCATATTCGAGTTTTTTGTAAAAAAAATTAATGTCTATGGTATTGCCAAAATCAGCACCACTCGTCAACCCATTTCACTAGAATTTATAGTGACTTCAATGCCCAAAGAATCAATTTCCAACACCATTTTTGTAAAAAACTTTTAGCTTCAAAACTCATGTCTAATTGCTAGAAATTTTCTTCTTTGATTTCACATACTTACCATTAATCTTTCAGCTTCTAACCTCTAGTTTCCTTTCTTTAACTCTTCATTTTATTGATGCAAATATGTTTTTTGCTCTAACAATTCAATCTTTTATTATCTACGTGTGATCTTTTATTGTAACGCCCTCTTTAATTCTTTATTCTCATAAGTTACACGTATAAGACCATTTGTATATCTTTGACACCAAATTGCCTTCTCTAACTTTCTTATTCTAGCAATAATGGTCAAATCTCTCTTTTAATCTCAACTACATTGATTTTTTTTTTTAACTTTTTCATCTCTATAATTGGCCAATGTATTAAAGAAAGCCAATCTTAGCTTTGATACAAAACTAATATTGAATTAAGAGATGCCTTGACTTTAACAGAGCTAAAACATACTAACACAAAATAACACCTTAGAAAAATCTACAAACACAAAATTCAGTTGTTAAACGAGTCTCAAATAATCCACAAACACAACTTAAGTAGTTAAACAACTCAAATCAAACAATCCCGAATTCTAACAAAACCTAAAATCTAGAGAAGTATTGAAACAATAGTAAAACATATCAAAAAGTTCTTAAATTGTAAAACAACCTAGGTGAAGTCTAGATGAAGCAATGGTAAAATTTTTAGGTCAATCCGACAATCCTAGTTCTCTTTATCAACAAGTCAAAATTATGTTTGCAAAGTCAAAATCCTAAAAACTTTCAGCAATTCAAAACCCAAATTTCTAAAAACTTTCAGCAATTCAAAACCCAAATTTCTCTTTTTAATTTTTTATGAAATCTTATATGTGACCTATTATGGTCTAAAAAATATGATTGTCAAAATTTGAAATCAATAAAAAATCTCAAGCCCTTTATTCAAGTTTTAGATCGAAAGTTTCAACCTTAGAATATCCAACAATTCAGTCTTCAATCAATCCAAACAATAAAATAAATAATGAAAGTTTCAATTAATCTCCCATTAAATAGAGTCCATCATCCCAAAAGAAATTAACAAAACTTATGAAATATGCTTGCTAAGAGTCCACCTTATGCAACCGTAGCTCAAGAACTCACCTTAGTCTGTCATTCTAAGGTTGTGCTTCGAAAAAACCCTAGCTAATCTAAGGGGAAAAAAACATATAAAAGATGCAAAAAAAAAATTAAAAAAAAAATCTCCAATTATATTAAATAATATTCAACAAAACTTCGACAAAAGCAACTAAAGATTACTTAAATAATGACCGACATTCGGCTAGGGTAAAACTCTCTATAGGCTCGACCTAACTTAAAACGCACATTCAATTAGATCCACATATTACATGAATTCTTAAAATAATAATAATTTTCAAAAATAAGGATCAATAACCCATAAGGATCCAATCATCCAATAATAATGGCAACATTTTTGGCCACCAATAAAAATAACCATGATGACTAATTTAATTAGCCCAAGTCCAAGGAACTAAAAGACCCAAAATAAAATAATTAATCAACCCTTGTTCAAGATTTAATAAACACATAAGATAAGATAAGATAAAAGGATGTAATGGCCTAAAAGTTTTGTTAGTGTAGAAACTTTCGGCCATGAAAAATTTTGAGGAGACATTCATGTGTCAAATTGACCAAAATGAGCTAATTAAAAAAAAAATTTGTTTCTCAAGAAAATATTTTATTATGGAAATTTGGGACAAAATTAAGGGTTAAAAAAGTTACTTTACTATAAAAAAAAAAAAAAAAAATTGAGGACCAAACCTATTTAAAAGGGCGGCAAAAATTAAAGCAACATTCTACTTTGCAGTTTCAGTTCCTGTTTCATAAAATAAAAAGGCAATTGAAAACTGGCCAAGTTATACTATCAAAATAAAACAAAACAAAACAAGAGACACCTAGACTAAAACTTAAAATAGCATTTATCCTTTCTATTTAGCCCTTATCATGTAAAAAAAAGAGACAATTAAAAAATCATAGAAGAAAGCTACTGACACAAAACAAATCAACACAAATAGGGGCCGAACTACACAAAAAATGATAAGTTCAAATTGCATTCTGTCTCTTTCTTCTTTAGTTCGATGCTGCTATTATTAATTAATTTATTTTTAGTTTGAGTTTTTGCAACAGCAGTAGCTTCATTATCAATCTTTACGTAGGAGAAGAAAAGAATGAGAAATATTGCAGGATGAAACAATGTCATTTTGCCTTGTCAGACCTTTTTTTTTCAAATGATCAAAACGTATCGTTTCATTTATATACCTATTTCTTGATTATTATTTTTTCCTTCTTATTGCACTCTAGTTTGTGATCCTTTTTTCTTTTCTTTTTTTTTTCCTATTGTACTCCTAAATCATTGATTTTTTATTTCTTCTCTTTCTTTTTCGATCCTCATTCTTTTGATTATTTTTTTAGTCATTTCTTTTTTTCTTTTATCATTGGCACTCATTCTTTTGATTGTTTCAATTACATCTTTACTTTTTTATTAATATTTTTTTTCTTTAAGTGGATTTTTCAACTGCCTCTTATTTTTCTTCTTCTTCTTTTTCTTATTTTCAATTTTTTTCTTACAAATTAGGAATGAAACTACAAATATTCTTTAAACCGTGAAAATTTATGTAACATGTAATTTTTTTAAAAAATATTTTTTTATAAATAATTATTTTGAAATTTTTAGGAATCAAAAATAGGTCATGGCAATGAGTTTCCCTATAAAAAGGAAATTATGTGGAGACAATGTTCTAGAACAGTTTGGCTTAGGAGGGGTATAAAAGCATAAAGTTCTTATACCAAATGCCACCTAACTGAAACGAAGGAATAAGCTCACGAAGTTGAAAGATGCTAACGACAACTGGCTAAGTAGATAAAAAAAAAAACGAATTGGGGGAGATGCTGACTCATTATTTTAGCAATTTGTTCAGTTCCTCAAACTTGACCGACATAGACTCAGTAATTTGGAACATTGAGACTAAAGTAACAGATGAGATGAATTCTTTTCTGTTACAAATTTTCAAATAAGAGAGTTTTGGAAGCTCTCAAACATATGCACCCTACAAAAACTCTTGGCCTAGACAGCATGCCTACTCTTTTTTTATAAAAAAAATATTGGCATAATATAGGTGAATTCTTAATAATGATTTGTGTTTTTTGATGTTAATCACTCATATTATTCTTATTCTAAAGTAAAAATTCAAAGCTCCAGTTGATTTTTGCCCTATTGCGCTATTAGCTTTAGCAATGTTACTGTCAAAATTATTTAAATTCTAACTTATAAACTAAAATCTATTTTACTTATTATTATTCACTATGTCTAAAGTTAAATGGTAGGTAGTTGAGTGATCAAAATCTAAACATATGAATAAAAGAGTTACAAGAGTAAGAGTTCTAAATAGAAAAACTCAACTAAAGGTTAAAAGATAGTCAAATCACCTTTTAAATAATTAAAAAAGAAGGTGGATGACCTAAATTTGATCGTTAGAATCACATTGCTTCTTTCTTGTTTTGATTATCAGTTTTAAACTAAACATCAAAATTAGGTATTTTTGAACTAAAATACTTCAATTTAATAATAAATATTAAAAAAGTAATAATTAAATCTTTTATATATATATATATTGAATCCACTAAATCAATCTCTCAATTTCATTTAAAAAAAAAAAAAAAAGGAACAAAACAAATTATAGACACTAGTCTTACTGGAATAACCATGTCGATCATTGCTTAGCCCAAGTCTTACGCTAAGGCAAATTCTTTGTCAATCCAGTTGGTGCACAGTTTGGACAAATGCCAAAACATATATATATATAAATTAGTATTTAATTAATTTTATAGATAAATCCAGCAGATACAGAACCTGATAAAAGAACATGATTAGTACTTTCTTTAGTTGTTTATCCATTGCTTGTTATTTATTTAATTTCAGATTTTTTTTTATATATATACCCTTGTTTCCAATTTAATTCACGGGATTGGAGATGAAGCAGTGTCCCATCACATAATAGGCACCTATACTTTGTCATGATGATTTTAGTTGCACACACTGAAACAACTCAAAACCCTGAGGATCAGTAGAGAGTGACGATCTCAGAAAATGCGACCCATAACCCTCATCCATAATATTTCTAAAGTCACTCAAATGCACCTATAAAAATTATCCGTTACTAAGATGTGTGTGTATATATATATATATATATATAAATGAAAATTGCACAACAGCAAGAACAAAACAACAAGAAAAAACCTCTACGAAGATTCTGAGCCATTCTATCAACTGATCTTAATGTAAGATCCATTAATAGATTCCACTAATCTAATGATTCATGTATATTCTTCCAAGTTTTTCTTGCTGTCTAGCACTGCTCTAAATATATAGGCGCACTCTTATAAATAATTGGTAATCCTGACTCGTTAGCCTTTACTAATAAATTAATCCAGCATCCTGAGAACAGCCAGCAGCAGATCATTCCACACATCAATTGGACCTGGCAGGCACCAATGAACACAGTCATTATACCCTTTCATCCACTTATTACCCCAGTAAGCTCCAGGGTGCCCATCAGGTCTCATCAGCATAGCCATAGTGACATCCAAAACCCCAAACTTCTTCCCTTTCTTCCCTGTCTTTCTTGCTCGTTCAATCTCTTCTACCTGCAAGCTTCTAATCTCCCTCTCAGAAACTCCAAAATTAATCTCCTGGCCATTGAAAGGACTAGTCCTGTTGCAGGTCCCTCCAGTGTTCCAAAATCCGTTCTCAAAATGGGATGGAGAGAATGTCCTTAATAATGTGACTATGCCCTTGCATTTATGGCAGTGATTAACATGACTAAGTGCAGCTCGGAATGCCATTCTGAGGGCAAAATTAATGCCTCGATCGGTTACATTTTCTTCATTGCAATAAACACATGCAACTACATCAGAACCTTTGTGCAGGTATATCTGTCTGAAGAACCAATGTGCGTCAGAGACGATAGCATAATCTAGGCTCTGCAGGTCTCTGGCCCAGTTTTCATCAACCTTGTCAAGATACAAGTCAAATATGCCAGATGATGAACCATTGATCACTCTCTCCTCACCAAGAACAAGGAATTTTGTCCATAGGATTTTAAGGGTGAAGTCATGGCCAGGAAAGTACCATATGCGGTTCCTATCTTCAGAATCCTTGTAAGCATCTATAGGAACTTCCTCCTGCAAAATTACAAGTTTTGTCAGATTCAATGCAAAGACTAGTTTTAAAACTTGGCCACACCCTGCTTTGACACCAAGATTTTTAAGTTAATGCACAGCAAAGAATTTAAAAATGACACCATTTTTATAACATCACTCAGCTATTAATATTAATACCAATAGCAAAACTAGGATGAGCTCTTTCAATTACTAACACATCAGTAATCAACACCTTGATTGATTTATATCCCATTATGATAAGGAGTTTTTAAAATCTAATGATGATATTTAGTTCCCTAAACTTCCCTTCTCCCTACAGGGGACAATGCCCCGTGCATCAAAAGGGCCCATAGAGGAAGCAACTGGTAATTCAGGAGCAGAAGAGATGGCAATTCCAGGCAATAAAGAAGCAATCAAGTTGTCACAATTGGTCAAACTTGAAATTCAAGTAACATTAGTTACCCTGTTAAGATTTCATTCCAACCTCTAGCCTTACCTTCTGGCAGTAACCAGTAATTGAAGAGCAAAAGAGATAGCAATTCCAGAGGAAGCAACTGATACTTGAAGAGCAGAACAAATGGCAATTCCAGGTAATAAAGCGGCAATCAAGTTATCACAATTGGTCAAACTGGAAATTCATATATCATTGGTTACCTTGTTAGGATTTCATTCCAACCACTGGCCTTACACTAAGAGCACAACTTTAGACAGAAGTCTTCTATACAATCTTTAAAAGTTTTCCTAAATTCAACCTACTTTGACTATTTCATGACAATTTGAAAATCATGGCTTGCCCCTGAGTTGACTTTCCATCAAAATGGACAGGGAGCAACTTGAAGAAAGAGTTGATGTTCAATTACACGAGTTCCCTCAATTATTTGTATTTAAAACTCTTTTTTAAATAGAAAATTGTGATTTGCTACAACAATATATAATTCAGAGTTCTAAATAACTATTTAAGTGCTCTGTAACACTTGAGTTACCATGCAGCGGCCACATTCGCTTTTATTATTATTATTTTTTTCTCCAAGAATAAAAGGATCATAAACTTTAGCACACGCCAAGAATATATCCGTATTAGCATAGATAATGCATGTTTTTTTTTTTTTTTACTTAAACATTTTAAATCGAGTCATATATATATATATATATATATTGAACCTCAAATGCGAACAGAAATTTATTTACGTGTGTAGACAATGCGGTGCCTGGAAACTAACAATTGTATTTCGTCAAATTTACTAGGTCATCACAATTCCAAATTTGAGCGTCAGCAACAAAAGAATGGAGAAAAGATAAACAGCTGACCTGGGACAAGAGACATAAAAGTGATTCCATGTGGTTCCTAGCAACTGAGTCACCAATAAATGCCAGTGTCCTTCCTCGAACAATGTTTAAATAGGCTTTAGGATCAAACCTAGGAAGATCACATTTGTCTGGTTTCCATCTCCAATTAAGGAAATCTTTGTCCTTCCTTCCATTTCTGAAACAGTTCTTCGAGGTCGGAATTGTTGCACAACTAGAAATTGTATACCCAGACCCTTTAAAATCTGGTACCCAGCGGCCGTTAAACAAGTCACACTTGTCTTCTTCAAAACCAAACAATATAGCACTACAATTAGACAGTGTACAGTTTGCCCATTTTTTTCTTTTTCAATGAATAGTATCGAAAAGATAAACTAGAAATGCGTGATATGCATGCATATATTCTCAAAAAAAGGTACCTTTCTGTGGTTTGATCAAGAGGGCCTTTTGATCAATGACCTGTTCTGGTACCAACTTTAAAGGGTTTGGAGAGTAGAAAATGACCAAGCTGAAAATAGTTGTTAAACCTACTAATAAGAAAGGAACAAGCCTTTCCATGTGAAGGCATCTGTCCTTTTTGCCATATATGGAAAGAGAAGAAGAAAGAGAGGAGGAGGAGGAGGACGACTTCATTTTTCATGCACAAATTCTTTAGGTTTTATGAGTTTTTAAGGGTAATAGAGATTTAGTTTCCTTTCAAAATGGGATAAAGCTCCTCTGCAAATGGAAACAATGAAAGGAGCAAGCTGTGAAGATTCTGTAAACTTCCCTCCTTAAGGTAAGTGATAAAGAGAAACCAAGAAATGGTAAGAGAGCAATGGCTGTTGTAATTCTGTGATAGGATAGTCAAAAAGGCTTAGGAAAACTATAAAATTAGTACCCAACCTATATAGCCTTAACAACTTAATCCTCAATGTTCAAACTTTCTTCCCCTAATCAGCTTTTTGCCACCATAAAGTAATAAAAATGTTAAACTTTCTTCCCCCCAGTCAACAAATTTCTTTTAAGAAGATGAATTGATTGGTAAAGGAAATCAGCTACTTTTTATGGACTCCCTTCCTTTTTTTTTTTTTTTTAAGAGAAATTCCAAAAAATTGCTTATGTATTGGAAATAGAGATAAAATAATTAACCCTAATATGAATAAATTAAAAAGGTTTAAGTATCAATAATGAAAGTCTAAAATGATTCGTTTCTATTAACTTAGATTTCCTAACAAAAAATAAATTTCATGAAAATGTTTAATTACTAAATTAGGTGATGTAGTTCAAATATTATAGATAGCATCAAATTCATTTAGATACATCAAATCATTATTGGAAGAATGTCTTTAAGTTTGCTACGAAAAAAAACTCTTTCTTAGTTCACGAATAAGCTAGCCCAATAATCATTGAAATTATATGATAGTGCAATAAATACGTCTATGAAAAATAAAAAATAAAAATAACAAAGCAAATGTTACTCATATTATCAAAAAAAAAATACAAAAACAAAATATGAAGACAAACATATAAATAAATGTTTTATTTCATGCTTAAAATACACTATTATAGTGTTAGTTAATGAACTAAGTATAACTGTTTCCTTAAAAAAAAAAAGTATAATTTCATTCAATTTCACTGATCCATTACTATTATTTTGTGATAACATAATTTGATCGAGGATGAATTTGCTAAACATAGAAAAACATAGGGAGAAATTAGCAAAAGCTTAAATGTTAGTGACAGTAAAGGTGTGGGAACAGATATATTGTTTTTCAAAAAGGTCTTAGTCTTATTCTATACGCAATGCCAACCGTTGGATTTATGAGAGGTGTAAACATATGAGATGAGGTATTGCTTGTGATTGCGTAGTAGTGGGTCACTATTAATTAGCCTGATTTCACGGAGAAACTTCTGTCAAAGACGGGAAATGTGCACCTCTCATGGAGCATCATGAGAAATAAAGAAAATTCAAACAAAGATTCTTTATGATGCACAAATGATAAGAGTAGACTTTTATCAATCGAGCGGCCAAAAAAGCACATTATGACATCAATATTAGAAGTGTCATCGTTAGACCAGTTTTCAGGAGACCAAGATCCTCAAATACAAACTTTTAAGATTCAAGCCAAAATCGAACTTTTACCGATATTACTGTTTATACTATGTGTTCATTGAATTAATGTTATAGATTCTTTTGTATTTACCTCAATTGAAAGGATTTTGAACAAACACTTAAAAGATGGTTATGTAGTAATAAGCAAGATAGTCTAACTATCAAGTTTTGTTACTAATAGATTCAATTAACTACTGAACATATTATATGTTCTCAGTATAGTTTTTATGTTTTTCTTTGTAATAAACTAAATTAAAGTAACTAAAATCCCACTTGCAAAACCCAAACTAACCATTGTAAGTTTGCAAACTGTCCAGGTTGGATGGAAATGTAGTTTGCAAGGTTAATCAATTCTCAATTCTAACCACCTTAATCTACCAATTTCTAATTTCCAAGTTTGATTTCAACTAAATTAGGTATTGCAAGTTTTCTTTTTCTTTTTCTTTTCTTTTATGTCAATCTCAATAAATAAATAAATAAAACACTAAACTTTGTAACAAAATATATATATATATATATATATAAACAATAATTGGAAAGTGTTTAGTAGAATAGTCAATTTCCTAATCATATAATTAAATGCACTAAATTAACTTTACAATATAAACTACTATTGATCCTAATGATGTTTCTTGATATTTTATGTTATGAACAAACTAAATTAAATGAACTGCAATAAGCTTGAAAATTTTTGGCGAAATTCACAATCCCCTAACTAGTTAGGTTGCAAGATTGTAGGAACGATAACTAGAAATAAAAATGATTCAAATTAATAATTGAACTTTCTATCCTAATATACAATCAAAACAATAGAATTATATTAAAAACTAAGAAATTGAATGATTATAGTACTAAGAACTACATGCTGCAATATGAATGTAAATCTAGCAATTAAGAACTTAAAGACTTTATAACACAACACTATAGTTTTTATAAAGCTTTTAAGTTAAAAACAACAAACTTACAATCAAAGAAAATTAGGAATATTCATAAGTTGCACTCTATACATGTCATTTATTGAAGGAACTTGAGATGATGATTATTGTAAGACGAATAAAAAATCAGCCTATAAATAATCGTCTACTAGATTACAACCTATAAATTACCACTATAGTTACTACCTAGGAAGTTTCAAGTGTGAAACTTGTGAAACTATTCATTGAGTCTGTTTGCAATTTGTAGGATTTTGCATGTGTGTTTTTCTCTTCTATTACAACTCGATATTTATAGGTTTCTTGCTCTTCTATGATATCCTATGGTGGACTACTCTCTCCTATGCATACTATATTGCTTTATGTTTTTATTTTTCTTGCACATTCAAGTTTCTCTTTTCTTATCCCGCAATGCATCATATTCCTTATCCTGTTATGTTGTTCTTATGTTGCAATTTCTACGCCCTTCTAATTATTTAAATCATGCTCTTACTAATACTAGAATTCTATTATTTATGTTTTTTAATTACATTTACATTACTTGTTGTTGATCACTTTCACCCTTCAAATAGAACTTTCTCCCATATTTTCCTTTAACTTTGCCTCGTTGAGAGTCCTTCTTTCTTTTGTTTCTCCTTGTCTTGTTAAAGGAGATCCAACGAGTCTTATCTTGACTGATTTATTGAGACAAGTACATTTGTTGGATTTAATGAGTTAGGAATGGTGTTTTCTAAATAGGAAATATCAAATTGGTTAATAGAATAAAACATCTTTTTACTCTTTTAATTTTTCTAATGTGACTCTTGCTCTTTTTTTTATTACCTCCCTCTACTCTTAAATTTTTCTTAATTTGGCTCCACCGACTATTTTTCAATCAATTTTCCGACTTAAATTGACACTTCGTATATATATATATAAACTTCACATGGCGTTACGGAGTTAGATTAATTTTTCACGTGAAAAAAATAAAAAACAAAACCAAAACTATCCTAAATCACATCTCAAAATTTTTTTACCTTCTTTAAAATTTTCCAATTTTTCCTTGTTCTTTCTTAGAAAAAAACAATTCCTCCTTCTCTTTCTCGAAGAACTAATAAGAATAACCAAAAAAAGAAGAAGACTTAATCATATGTAAGGAGACACTCGTATACTTTTCACGTTAGGCTTCTTTATAATTCTTGTTATACTCGTATTTCAAGCAATTACATGTCAAGAACCCGACTAAGATTAAAAGTCAAATATTTTTCTACATTATGCTCCAACTCTCATTCATATTTAACATAATTTCAAAGTTAAATTGAACATCATACCCAAAATAAGATCCAAAATAATCTCCACAGTAGATGAACCCATTACAATAACGATAACAATAAAGACAATAGAAAACACTATCAATCGTATATGATGCTCTTGATAAGAGAGTTAGTTAGAAATCTTAGAACTGGAAATATTTTATGTTAGTGTAGGTGCTCAAGATCTAACTTTGTTTGGATAATTTGATATATTGTAACATTGCATTTTAATATTAGTAAAAAAAAGTCTTTGTATTGATTCTTTTTTATTTATAATTTGATAAAATTAGATAGATGTTCATATGATATACTTTGCATTAACGATTGATCAAAAAATATGAGACAAATATTAATACATTCAAATATCATTTAATTTTTCAAGTCATAGCATTGTCAAGAATAGACATTATCTATATGCAATAAGACTTGTGAATGCTAAGTTCTTGCTAAAAGAAAGTAGTAAGAGATCTCACACCTATTGAAACATTAAAGACAACAGAAAACACTATCAACTCGTAAATGATGCTCTTGATAAGGGAGTTAGTTAGAAATCTTAGAATTGGAAATATTTTATGTTAGTGTAGGTGCTCAAGATCTAACCTTGTTTGGATGATTTGATATATTGTAACATTACATTTTAATATTACTAAAAAAAAGTCTTTGTAGTGATTCTTTTTTATTTATAATTTGATAGAAGTAGATAGATGTTCATATGATATGCTTTGCATTAACGACTGATCAAAAAATATGAGACAAATATTAATACATTCAAATATCATTAAATTTTTCAAGTCATAGCATTGTCAAGAATAGACATTATCTATATGCAATAAGACTTGTGAATGCTAAGTTCTTGCTAAAAGATAGTAGTAAGAGATCTCACACCTATTGATATGGTGATGTCAAAACAAGCACTTAGATGAATAATGTTAGAGAACATATCACTAAAAGTGACTCATCATGAGAATCCATTTGGTTTAGTGTATTGAAATCTCATACGAGATGGGTACAATTGGTCATTTGACTTAAAGTCATCATAATTATTTCATTAGAGGATTAGTGTACTTTGACATTCATTTTCATATGCTCGGTAAAGAATTATATATGGATGATTCATTAAGTGCATTAGGAATATAATGAAGATAGATGGATGACTAAGACATGACATATCATTCCTTGTATGCTAAAGGAGTTATTATATTACACTTCGATGAATGTCTACTCATGAATATGTGACATTATGGAAGTATACAAATAGAGCATAGTTGGTTTACTTAAGAGCTAAGACATTTGGGATCAAAGAAACCTTATATGATTATAATCAAATAGACTACAAACCAAGTTCGAGATCACACTATGATAAAATTGACATGGGGACTAAATTGTATGAAAACCATACTCATGAAAAGTAATTCTAGATTAATTAATCCTTCTAAAAAATTAGGTAGTCATGATACTTTGCTAAAGGCCAATCTTGATTTATGTATCAAAAGATAAAAGCATTGTCTTTTATTTTTTTGATATATTATCAACATATGTAAGCCTATTGAGTCACACGCATAAGTGTAAACATTTAAAAGGTTTCATAGATTGAAAATTCAATTAATTAATTCAAATAAACCTTAATTAAGTCTATTTAGACCTTTAATTATGGATTAGACCATTTAAAAGATTATTTGGGCTTATGGAAATTAAGTTCGAATTGATTGAAAATATAACAATAAATCTATTCCATTAAATTCAATTAACCCTTATCTATTAAATTCAATTTATTCCTTTAACCATTAAATTCATTTCTTAACCATTAAACTAATTCCTTACCATTAACTTTCATTTATTTTTCCCAATTAGTTTCTTACTAATTAAATCAATTCAAATCTTCAATTATTACATTCAATTGACTTGTAATTAATTACTTACTTAATTCATTACTCTACTTGTTTCATTTTAACTTGCCTAACAATTAGTGAATATCATCAAGTTACCAATTGCTTAAGATTAAACATACACATTCCATCTAATATTTAAAGCAAGTTATACCATATTTTACATATCATATTCAAGCCTTAAAACATAATAAAAGAGAAAGAAACATTTCTCACTCGATACTAATAATTAAGCACACATATTGTTAAGTTGTTTCTTCTCCTCACCAATGATCTTCACCTAGCATTTTATATTACATACATAATAAAAAATATGGTGAGTGATGCTCGATAAGTTTAATCCATTCATGCAATACATGTAATGCATATGATTCATTTTATATTTTCTTTTTAGCTAATTTACTCCCAAATTTGGAACTAACTTTCAAATTAGAAAATTGATTTCTCAAATAAGAAACTTTTCATTTTCGAAAACCTTTTCTAAAATAGAATACTTTCAAAATTGAAAACATTTTCCAACATCTTTACTTCTCATTTATTATGTGAATTCTTAAATTATGCATGAGACTTAATAGGCTCCCGGATATGTTAGTAATATATCAAGAATCAAAGATACCTCTTTTATCTTTGGATACATAAATCAAGATTGACCTCTAGTAAGGCATCATGAAAACTCAATTCTCTAGAAGGATTAATTAATCTATAATTACTTTTATAAGTATGTTACCATACAATTCAATACTCATGTCAATTTATCACAAGTGTAATCTTGAACTTGGTTATTTAGTCTTTTTTATTATGATCACATTTTTTGATTCCTAAATGTCTTAGCTCTTAGAGTAAATCAACTATGCTCTATTAGTGCACTCCTACTATATCCATAGATTGTTTAAGTAGACATTTAATCAAGTGCAATGTGATAACTTTTTTATCAAAGAAGGAATAATATGTCCAATCTTAGTCATCCACCTACCTCCATTAGATTTTTAGTACACCCAATGAATTGCCTACGTGTAACCCTTTACTAGGTCTATCGTAACAAGTGTCATAGTACATAAATCCTCTAATAAAATAATCATGATGACTTTAAGTCTAAGGACCATTTGTACCCATCTCGTATGAGATTCTTATAGACTAAACCAAAAGGGTTTTCTTGGTAAGTCAAGTCTAGAGATATGCTCTCAAACATTAATCACCTAAATGTTTGTTTTAGCATCATCATGTCAATAGGTGTAAGATCTCCTACTGCTATCATATAGCATGAACATGCTAATATAGATGTCCAAGATCCAATCTTTTTAGATGGGTTTGACTTGTTATGTTATAGCATTGATTATAACAAAAGAATTCTTTCTATTAATGCTAGTCATTGGTATTTATTCATTGTATAGAATTAGATAAAAATCCATATGATATGCATTTGCATTAGTGATTGATCGAAAGATGTAAGACAAACACTAATGCACATAAATGATATCGTTAAATGTCCTAAGTCGTAGCATGGTTAAAAATGGATATTGACTACATGCGATTAGATTTATGAGTGTTATGCCCATACTATATGATAGCAATAAGAGATCTCACAGATATTTGTATGATGATGTCAAAGCAAGCACTTAGGTGATTTATGTTAGAGAACGTATCATTAGACTTAACTCATCATAAAAACCCATTTGGTTCGGACTATGTGGATCTCATATGAGATGGGTACAACCGATACTTAGACTTGAAGCCATTATGCTTATCTTATTAGAGGATTTATATTCTCTAACACTCGTTTTGATGGACCTAGTAAAGGGTTACACGTGGTCGATTTTTTGAGTGCATTAGGAATCTAATAGAGATCAGTAAATGATTAAGATTAGACATATCATTCCTTTACTCGCTAAATGAGTTATCATATTGTACTTTGATGAATGTCTACTCAAGAAATCTCGTGGTCACAGTAGAAGTACACCAATAGAGCGTCATTGGTTTACTCTAAGAGCTAAGATATTTAAGAATCGAAAAAAACTTATGCGATTGTAATCAAACAAGACTAGTAACCAAGTTCGAGATCACATTGTGATAAGTTGACATGAGAACTGAATTGTATGGTAACCATGCTCATGAAAGGTAATAATAGATTAATTAATCCTCATAGAGAATTGAATAGTCATGATGCTTTGCTAAAGACCAATTTTGACTTATGTATCAAGAGATAGAAGAGGTATATTTTATTCTTGATACATTACCAACATATTTAGGAGCCTATTGAGTCACATACATAAGTTTAACCATTCATATGAAGAAAGAGCGAAGAAAGATATTGGAAAACATTTTCGAAAGTTTCTTATTTTGGAAAGGGCTTCGAAAAAGAAAAGTTTCCTAAAATGAAAAGTTTTCTAATTTAGAAGTTAGTTCTAAATTTTAAAGTAAATAACCTAAAATGGACATGAGTTTCCTAATTTAGGTTAAATGATATTTTGAGAAATTACTTCCTAATGTAAGCCACCTAAAATGGAATGTTTTCTAAAATGAAAAGTTCCTAATTTAGAAGTCGGTTTTCTAATGTAGAAGTTAGTTCTAAATTTGAAAGTAAATAACCTAAAATGGAAATGATTTTCCTAATTTAGGTTAAAAGGTATTTTGAGAAATTACTTCTTAATGTGGGCCACCTAAAATTATATAAGTTTATTTATTTGGATAGTTCAAATTAATTAATTAGCCCAAAATGGTTTTAGGCTAATAGGTTTAATTAAAAGCCTAAAAATATTTTGGTTGAAGAATAAATATGAACTTTATTGGATAAGGATCAATGTTTTATAGATAAAGATCAAAAGCCCACTTGTTAAATAACTACTAATCCTTGAGGATTTAGAAGTAACAACTCGTGAGTTCTATTTAGGACAAGTTGCCACCCAAACTTATCCTTAGAGGATAAGGAATTTCTCCCCTATAAATAGGAGGAGAGAGATGTAGCAACACACAAGGATTTTAAGAAAGAGAATTCGACAAAATCAATAGAAACTAAGGCCCATAGCCAAGAAGAAAAAAAGAAAGAAAAAGTAGTTTTCTCTAAAAACCCCTAGCACGTCACCTTTTTCTTCCTCTCTTTTAGGTTGTTGTAAAATTATCGAGATTAGATTTTTATTTAAAATACTAAAAAAATCAATGGAGGTCGGATGCTTGGACGACTCCTTTCTTTATTTAAGAATTTAGATCCGTGTAACAAGAGGTAATTCTCTATTCATTGCTTTAATTCATGAAAATATTATATGTTCGCCCTTTAGGAGCTTTTTCTTTTATTGCATACCTCTATAGGATGCATGATCCTTCAATTAGTATCGAACCTCCATCGAATCTTTGATTGTATGTTATGTTAATTATGATTAACAATATGAATTAGATATGTTTGATTATAAATCTGGTTTTTTCAATATTTTATATGAATTTGAAACTAAAATTTAATTTAAAAATCAATAGGGGCATGTGAGGTTGACGTCGAACGTTAGCGCTCCTATGTTAGAAAACCTTAGGTCGGGCACACGGTAAGTCAAGTTAGTCACGTGCTAGGCATACGACAAGCCTAACCTCGCTAACCAGGAGGCCACTTGCTAGGCAAGTGATTGAGCTAGCCTCGTGCATGAAGTGCACATGCCAAACACTCGCGTGCCGGCCGGTGCGTGAGGCACATAGTCCCGATGTTCGAGTGTTAGGCATTATGTGCTCGGTTGCGCACGAGGCATGGAAGCCAAGCCTATATGCGAGGAGCGCAGGCCGGCATTTACGCGTCGAGTAGTCGGGTAGAAGCGTGCCAAGCAAAGGGTTTAAGCATCAAAGCATGTGGGCCCTCGAGGCACAAAAGACCATGGCCCAAAATGGGTCCGAAGCCCAAAAGTTTTAAAATCGAAATTTTAGAGAAATTTTTATAAATTTATAAAATGATCAAAACGAAAATTTATAATTAAGTTTTAAATGAAATGTGTTTCATTAATATACCTTGTACCAATACGATTGAAGCATAGGTGAATGGTATAGATGAGTCGACCAAGTTTTATGAATGAATGTTTGTAATTTTTGGATAAATAGGACTTTTTTCCTTCTCTCGTTACTCTATTATATTTCTTTTCTCATCTTACTCCATTCCAATGTAACTTGAGGTTTCTTATTCAAATAAATGTAAAAGTAGAAGATAGGAATTAGAATAAATACAATGAGAAGATTCCTAGAAATGAAGACATTCCTAAAGAATTTGTAATATTTTTTTTCCTAGGTGTTTCAACCATTAGTCTCCTTGTGGCTCGAGGCGGATAACATTAGAGATCCATTACCATTTACTCGGTCTTTGTGTCAAACATGAGATGTATGTATATTATGCGATTAATGTTAATATGTATGTTAGGAATAATATGATTATTGATTAGGATGCATGCTAGGATGAGACCAACCAAATTAAATCCTTCAAATAAAATATTAAATTGATTGAATTTCAATGTTATGAGGAAGGAACTCTCTTAGTCGTTGGTGTCTTATTGAGATAACTCAAGATCACTTCTTTCTTAAGAAAAACAAATCATAGGATATATGATGTCCCCGAACGTTGGGTCTAACTTAAAATAAGTTGGTTTTGTTGAGATAGCTCAAATTCCAATAAGCTAGTAGGCAAACATTGGTATTTACTTAAGATGTGATATGATAAAAAGTTGTCATACCGAGTGAGATTAAAAATTACATTAGATACAATTGGTAAGGAGTCGTGTACCTAATCCTTCATTTATGACTTGTTAAGATAACTCAAGATTAATGCATGTTAGAGGACGAGATCCTAACCCACTAAAAAAATAAATCAAAAATTTTTCTCAAGTCCTATATTGTGAAGGTTATAGAACTTGAAGAAAATAGTGGGAGCAAACATAGTTTTTGCTTATTTGATTTATGCTTTATTTTTTTCATGTAATTTAATTAACTAAACCAAACATTTTTCTATCTTGTCGATTACACAGTATGACCGGCAACACATCGATACTATTGATCATTGATGAAATAATGTCTTTAATGGCATAAACTTCCTTAATTAGGAAAGGAATTTATGGATAGTCCTCTAATATGAGAAAATTATGTATGCTATAGAGAAAACTCTCCCAACCGATTCTCTTCAAGATCAAATTAAACCTTATACAACATGGATCAAACATAGAGATCATACGATCACTCGCTCGTAGCATCATGCTTGTTGCTATGACATTGAAGCATAGGCTCCAACATAAAGGCACATAGGCTTATGATATCATAGCGAAGCTTAAAAACTTATTTAAAGAGAATACTAGGCATAAGCACTATCATATAGCGAGAAAGCTCTATAGAGCCTAAATGGATGTGGGATTCAATGTCAAAAAGCATGTCACCGAAATGATTGGCTATATCGATAAACCGATCTAGCTTGAAGTTGGAATAGATGTTGAATTATCCATTAACATAGTATTGTAATCGCTGCTAAATAGCTTTGGATAGTTCATCATGAACTTTAATATGATGCGCATGGAGAAAACTCTTAGAGAGTTATTGTCCATGCTAAGGGAAGCTCAACTCAAAATTAACAAGAAGAATAAGAGTTTTGTGTTTCTCGTTACTAAGGGAAAGAGCGTAATAAAGGGTTAGAAAAAGCCTAAAAAAAAAAAGTCTTCAACTCGTACCTACCGAAGAGTGAAAAAGCCCGAGGCTCAAAATAGCCTAAAGGATGCGATCTGTCGTCATTGCAACAAGAAAAGGCTTTAGCGAGTGCAACTATAAGGAGTACTTAAAAGGGTTACAAAAGAAAAGTTCTACTACCACCTTAGGTATTTATGTTATTAAAGCTAATAATTTTATTTCTAATTTCACCTTATGAGTATATGATGCTACATGCAAGTGCTTACATTTTTAAAATGTATAGGAGCTTAGAAAAGGGAAAGAAAATAGCTTTAAGGAAGATGACCTACACGACTATAATGGATCAAAAGTTGGACCACTAGATGTAGGTATTTATGAGCTAGCACTACCCTGTAGGAATATGTTAAGACTCAATTATTATTATTAGAAGAGACTAAAATATGTTTTTTTCATTTCTTTTTTTGAACAACTATTTCATTTTTAGGAATAATGATTATTTTTAAAGATGAGTTTTTATGAAAATATCTTGATAATAATTATATGTTTTAAACAAAACTTCCATAAATATAGTATAAATACTAAAAGACTCAAATGATCTAAAATAACATAAATTTGTATCAATGTCATCTTAGCCACATAAATGAGAATCTCATATCTAATCTACTTATAAATGGATATCTAGAATTATTTGATGATATCTAAGAAATCTTGTTTACTTGAAAAAGAGACATGAATCCCTTTTTAGTGGAAAAGAGGAAAGAGCTACTAGTAAGGCCTTACATTTAGAGGTGTATATAGGCCTATGTTCATCCAAGCGAGAGGAGAACATGCTTATCACATAACCTTTAATAATAGTACATCATGTTTTGGTTATAAGATACAAGTCCAAAGCATTTGAAAGGTTCAAAGGTTTAAACTTAAAAATCATATGACAAACTAGTAAAAGCATTAAGATATTTCAATTTGATCGAGGTAATAAATACTTAAGTGTTAAAATTTTAGATCGGCCAAAAGAGAATGAGATTCTCTCGTGGACATCATATGTAAGAGATGGCATGGTTCACGATGATTAGAATTAATATTTCTATTTTATTTTAGGATAAACACTCCTTACTATAACCTTTATAATGTATAGGGTTCCAATTACAACCATTTGGTTTATTCTATAGGAATCTTATACGAGATAGGTACAACTACTCATTCGACTTGAAGTCATCATGGTTATCTCATCAAAGAATTTATGTACTTATCAAGTAAAGGATTGCACGTGGACGATTCGTTGAGTGCAATAAGACTCTAATGGAGATAGGTAGATGACAAAGATAAGACATATCATTCCTTATACACTAAAGGAATTATCACGTTACACTTCGATAAATGTCTACTTCGAAATTTATGACCATAGTAAGACTACACCAATAGAGTATAGTTGGTTTACTTTACGAATTAAGACATTTAGGAATTGCGGAAGAATTGTGTGATTATAATCGAACAAGATTAATAGCCAAGTTTGAGATCACACTATGGTAAGTTGATATGAGGATTGAATTGTATGGTAACTATCTTGATGAAAGGTAATTGAGGATTAATTAATTCTCTTAGAGAATTGGGTAGTCATTATATCTTGCTAAATGCTATTCTTGATATATGTATCAACATATAAAAGAGTTTTGGTTTTTTTTTTTATTCTCGATACATTGCCAATATATCTAGGAGTCTATTGAGTCATATGCATAAGTTTAAACATTCATATGATTAAAGAGAAATAAAGATGTTGGAAAAAGTTTTCATTTTAAAAGTTTCCTATTTTGTAAAAAATTTTCAAAAATGGAAATTTTTCTAAAATGAATAGTTTTCTAAAATAAAATTTTCCTGAAATGAAAATTTTTCTATTTTAGAAATTAGTTTCCTAATTTGGAAGTCAGTCCAAATTTGGAAGTAAATAACTTAAAATAGAAATTAGTTTCCTAATTTAGGTTTAAAGGTAATTTGAGAAATTGTTTTGCTAATGTGAGCCTCCTAAAATTATTTAACTTAATTTATTTGGATAGTCCAAATTAATTAATTGGACTAAAATAGTTTTAGGCTAATAGGTTTAATTAAAGCCTAAAAGATATTTTGATGGGAGGATAAATATAAATCTTATTGGATAAGAATGAATGCTTTATTGATAAAGATCAAAAGCCCATATGTTAAATAACTCCTAATCCTTAGATAATTAGAAAGCAATAACAAACAGATCCAATTAGGACTAGTTTCCACCCCTCCTTCTCCTTGGAGGACAAGGAAGCCTCTCCTATAAATATGTGGGAGAGAGGTACGACAAAGAATAAGACATTTTTGGGAGAGAGAAACTTTGATAGAAATAAAAAAGAAGAAGGAAGGCACACGACATCAAGTCAAAAAAGGGGAAAATAATTTTCTCCTAAAAACCCTAAGCACACCCCACCTCCTCTCTCTCCCTCTATTTAGATTGTTGTAAAATTACCCTAATTAGATTTCTATGAGGAATACTAAAGTCAAAAAAGGTAGAGTTAGCACTCTATTAATTTTGAATGCTTCTTTTATGGGTGCATGGATCTGCGTGGATTATCGATAGAGGCTAAAAACTTAGAAGATTTTTTCTGTGAAGGTTTAAATCGTACTACAAGAGGTAATTCTTTTTTAAAGCTTTAATTCATGGATATATGGTTAGTTGATTCAACGATATAATCTTAGGCCTTTTAGATGGAGAAATTTTTTATTTTATTCCACACCTTTATAAGATACATGATCCTTCAATGGGTTTGCAATAACATAGATATGTGTATTTGAGATGGAATAGACAAGGAGGATTCTATCTTGTGATTGTTGATTGAGTTTCCATAGGGTTTTGAGGCATCGCGTTATTCTATCATCATTACATTAAAAAGGAGTAAAGACAATTGTAAACTTATGAAATTAAATTGAAAAAAAAACGTAAAAAATTACAATCTATAAAATTAAAGTGCTTAGAAAAATAAATTTACGAAAAAAAATATTTATATTGGAGCAGGTCAAAAATTACAATGATAGTAATTTTTTATTTGTAT